AGGGTTTAGGGTTTAGGGTTTAGGGTTTAGGGCTATTGGGTTCCGTGTCTTGGGGGTTTAGGGTTTAGGGTTTCGGGAAACGGGGATTCAAGGTTTAGGCGTTTGGGGGTTTAGGGTTTGGGGTTTATGAGGCTTAGGCTTTAGGGTTCGGGGTTTGAGCGGCTTCGGGTTTTGGGCTTCGGGTATTTCAGAAATTGGGGGCCTATGGTTCGGGTTGAGTGAGGGCTTCTAGGTAGGCTTTTGCTTGGGTTTTTGAAGGGCGGTGTATCGGGCCAGAGGGGCCACGTACTTAACAGCACTTAACGGCAAACCCTGAACCCTAAACCCAAGTGGTGCTGGTAGTCAAGCCGAGTTTCGGCAAGGACTTTTGGGTCCTCGGGTTGACGGAGGGAACCCCACAACCTCCTCTACGGCTTAAGGTTGAGGGTTTCGGGTTTCGGGTTTAGGGCTCTGGACCGGAGACCCCGCAACTCCCCTGCAAGGTGATGTGGGCCGGTAGGGCGTGTGGAAAGCAGGAAGCCAGGGCTTAGTGAGGGTCCGAAATCCGAAAACCTAAACCCCTGAACCCTAGCACCCGAAATAAGACCCAAAACCTTTAAACCCCTATATGAAGAAGGGTTTATTCCTTGAATCCCCAAAAAGGACACCTAATATATACACTCACCAAAATCAAAAAGGAACCTTCTATACGCTCACCAAGAACAGAAATAAAAGCCCTGCTCCATGTCGAAAACCTAAACCCTAAACCCTGAACCCTGAACCCTAGCACCCTATAAGACCCAAAATCTAAACCCCTAAACCCCTAAACCCCTAAACCCCAAAGCCTAAACCCTATAAGACCCAAAACCCTTAAACCCCTATATCCAACCCCAGGCCTCCGGGGGAATCCAGCCCCGGCCGAAGAGGCCTGCACGTGGATGTGATGTTAGGTTCTAGCGAAGGATCCTAAGGGTTTAGACTTTTCAAGGCTTTAGGGCTCTTAGGGTTTTTAGGGTTTTAGGGTTGTAGGGTTTTAGGGTTTTAGGGTCTTAGGGCTTCAGGGCTTTAGGGCTTAGGGTTTAGGGTTTAGGGTTTCGGGTTTAGGGTTTAGGGTTTAGGGTTCAGGGTTCAGGGTTCAGGGTTTAGGGTTTAGGGTTTGGGGTTTAGGGTTTAGGGTTTAGGGTTTAGAGTCTAGAGTCGAGGATTTGGGGTTTAGTCTCGAAACTAGGGCTCCCTTTCGGAGGGCCACTCACGCCGCACACTGCTGCAAGTGACCCAGGCCGGTCTACGCAAACTACTGGTATACAATCGTTCTGTGCACCCTGAACCCTAAACCCTAAACCCTAAACCCGAAACCCTAAACCCTAAACCCTAAACCCTGAACCCGAATCTCACATGCTGCAGCGCTCTCCCACCTTCCTGTCCTAGAGCATGGCTGCTCTCCTCAGGTGCAAGCTGGATGCCTATAGGGGGCTTATCAACCCTAAACCCTAAACCCTAAACCCTAAACCCTAAACCCTAAACCCTAAACCCTAAACCCTAAACCCTAACCCTAAACCCTAAACCCTAAACCCTAACCCTACACCCGAAACCCTAAACCCTAAACCCGAAACCCGAAACCCTAAACCCGAAACCCTGAATCCTGAACCCTAGACCCTGGTCCTATATGGGTTTAGGGTTTAGGGTTTAGGGTTGAGGTGGCTATAACACCAATGGTGCTGGGGTAGGGGACCCTCCAGAAATCTTGGGGGGGGGGAGGGGGGGCACCCCATGACGCCGTGGGTTGCTTGGGGTCTTGGGGGGTTAGGGCTGACGGCTTACAGGCGAGGTTGTCCAGCAAGCTAGGATTCAGAAGAGTGCCCGATTTGTCCTACAAGGTTGTCGTTTTTTAAGGGCACCCAAACCCCCCAAAAAAGTGAATACGGGCACTGCTGGGCATCCTAGAAGGGCTTGGGACTGGATTGTGTGCGGCTCACGTGCCGTCTGGAATCCAGGTCCGCAAGGTCAGGTACCGGAGAGAGGGGAGACACTGGCTCCAACTCCATCTCCCGTCACACCCCATCAGAGGGACGCGCTCCCGCCTGCTTTCTATGAGTCAAGGTTTGGGGGTTTAGTAGGCTTTGGCTTCCCTGCCAAGTCCTGGAGTTTCTTGCTACGTTGCTACTGAAAGTGCTACGCAGCTTCACTAGGGCGGCCGCTGCCCTGGGCTTGCGTGCCGCGACTCATGAGCGTACTGTGTTCGGAGACCTGACGATAGGACATGTCATGGGGAAGTGGAGCCACAGGGCCGGCGTCGAACATCGGCGCATGATGATCAGCAAGGTAGAGCAAGCTAACCATCGTGGTTTGAAGCCATGGTTTCGTGGTAAAGCAACTGGCAGGTCACAGGAAACGGCTTGCTCAGATGGGCAGCTGGAGACCTCAGGACGACAGATCCTAGTGAAGTACAGTAAACTCCCAAAAGTTGGAACATCATCATCCTCAGACCCCAAGAGGGGCTACTATTGGGAATCCCAGCACTCATCGTCCTTAAACCATGCTCCAACTTTAAGGAGCTTACTGTACCTACCCTAAACCCTAAACCCTAAACCCTAAACCCTAAACCCTGAAAAGTTGGCTCTGCAGTCCCAGCGGAACTTGGGAGCCCAGCAAACCATATCTTAATATGAGGGGCAACCCCTTTGGGGAGTTGGTTGCTTTACAAGGGAACCTTGAAGCAGCTGAACCCTAAACCCTAAACCCTAAACCCTAAGCCCTAAACCCTAAACCGAAAAGGGTACCACTGGGCTCAAAGGATCCTAACTGATGCCTTATTATGAAACCAAGGGTTGGTCTCGAGGTTTGGTTTTGGACTCGGAAATGGAGGCGTCAAGGACACCAGTGGACAATCCCAACATCGGTTTAGGGTTTAGGGTTTAGGGTTCAATTAGGGTTAAGAACAAACATCCTGAGCACAAGACGCAACGCCATGGTGAAAGAGAGAGAGAGAGAAAGCCCACACAGGCAAACAAACCCACAGACAGATCGATGCGCACATTGTCCCAAAACCCAAAACCCAACAGGGGCACCCTAAACCCTAAACCCTAAACCCTAAACCCGAAACCCTAAACCCCAGGGATACCTTTTCTTCACAACGCCGAGCTTGCGGCTTCCTTGCTGGGCTTGTGCCAAGCAGAGATGCGGGTCAGCCTTTCTAGAAGGAACGGTCCTCTTTCCCTAAACCCTAAACCCTAAACCCTAAACCCTAAACCCTAAGCCCTTCAGAAACCTTGAGATGCAAACCCTGTATGGATTCCAGAATCATAGGCCATGCCCTAAACCCTAAACCCTAAACCCTAAATCCTAAACCCTAAACCCAGACAAGGATACCGGAGACCCTGGCCTAGAAAATAAGCCGCCTCCGAAACCGTCCGCGCTTTGCTTCGTGATCCGCACGTTTTGCCTCGGGAAAGCGCCTGGATGGTTTTATGTAGCACTGTGAAAGCGTGATTTCGGATGATCTTGAAACAAGCCTAACACCAATGTCCAGTTTCCACGCGCGCGCGCGCGCGCGCGTGCGGGGTTGCGGCTGCTCTGGCCGATGGCTGCGCTGCGAACATGGGCTTTCTTATCGTTTGGGCATGGATGCTCCGGCCAATGGATGCACTCGCCACATGGCTGCTGGGTACGACATGAGCGTTTCGCCGAGGTGAAGCCCTAAACCCTAAACCCTAAACCCTAAAGGACCCTAAACTGACAAACAAAAAACGCTGTACGGGCTCGGAAGTCGCCAGCTTCTACGTGTCTGCCCCCTTTGGAGCTTCCTGTTGTAGCCCGAAGCACCCCAATAGTCCTTGGGACCCTCAACCCTAAACCCTAAACCGGAGTTTTGAAAAGCTGACCCAGGTGATTCCATGGCGCGGCAGGCTTCGCGAGAGGGGCGCCGCAGCTTTTGCTGCATGGAAGGGCCCGCAGGATCCCCCTAGAGGTGGGGTTCAGGGTTTAGGGTTTAGGGTATAGGGTTGAGGGTTATAGGGGTTTAAGGGTTTAGGGTTTATGGCTTCGCGCTCCGGCTCAGGGTGTTTTACCTTTTTGCGGGTTCATCGTAGCTTGAGGATGACGGCTTCTTGGCTTAAGGGGGTTTTGGTGGTTTTGGCCCACTTGTACGTCCCCCGAAGTGGAGAAACCTGAGAGCCTGGCCGTACACTAAACCCCTGTATCGTCAACAAGTCCTAAACCCTAAACCCTAAACCCTAAACCCTAAACCCTAAACCCTAAACCCTAAACCCTAAACCCTAAGGTCAAGTACTTCACAAACCTTGCCTCAGCCCTGAAACCTACACTTCGACTCCAGTAAATCTTCGGAATCGGAGGCTTGGAGAAGTGCGGCTTGAGGTGGGTTTAGGGTTTAGGGTTTAGGGTTTAGGGTTTAGGGTTTAGGGTTTGCAGGGTTTCTAGGGCTTACAGGGTTTCTAGGGTTTACAGGGTTTCTAGGGTTTAGGGTCCAAAGTAAGCGGATCCTGCGAAACGAGAAGAAACCGAATTGCTGTATGAGGTTCTGCTGAGGGCAGACTCCTTCGGCAACCTACGCCCAAATACCCTAAACCCTAAACCCTAAACCCTGAACCCTAGCTTGGACTCCAAAAGTCCCGTTAAGCCACTGTGGCCACGGAGGCTTGTTCTGCATACGAGCCATAGCAAAACTCAGAGTCTTGGAGCTGTAAGGGGACCTTTCTGTATGAGAGGGTATAGAATGCCCTAAACCCTAAACCCTAAACCCTAAACTCTAAACCCTAAATCCTAAACCCTAAACCCTAAATCCTAAACCCTAAACCCTAAGACGCTATGGCTCATGTCGCAGGGGTGAAACAGCTGAGCAGCCAGAGGTGACTTACAGACCCGCCGTCCGAACCCCTTATAAACCATAGCTTAACACTTTAGAATCCTAAGGGTTTAGGGTTTAGGGTTTAGGGTTTAAGGTTTAAGCTTTAGGGTTTACGGTTTAGGTAAGCCCTGGAGAGACAACTACCGGTGTAACACCCCTAGACCACGGACATGGACAGATCGATCTTGGAAGAGGAGAAGCCTCGGCTGTTTTCGTTGCAGGGAAGGCCTGTTCAGATGGTCGCTTTAGAGGAATACTGTGCTTCGGCTTCAGAGTACACCCCAGACCACAAATAAGTCCTAGAATAGCTACGTAGACCCCGAGCATTTTGGAGCCCTGGTGAACCCTGAGAAGGGTAACAAGGGGGCCAGATTCAGGAACCATGCAAGTAGCCCATATTTAGCCTTATAGGGTAAACCCTAAACCCTAAATAAACCCTAAACCCTAAACCCTCAACCCTAAACCCAAACATCAAGCGTAGACCTCCCACCCCTACATGGCCGGATCTCGAATTTCTACTCCCTTGTGGGGTGCGCTATTGCCCTGAGAGTTTAGGGTTTAGGGTTGTCATGTATAAGAGGAGTATGTCTGTTCATAGACAGCCCGAGTCGTGTGGTGTATTCCAATTGTGTCGTGTTTCTCTTCTGTTCGTGCCATGTTTAAGTCTGGTGGCAAAACCCGGCTGTCCTAAAGGAACGACATCAGAACTATGGCATGGTGGATATGAGATTTTTTCCAAATTAGGTATCTTTGTTCGGCTCCCTAGTACGGCACGTTATACAAAGCACCCTCAACCCTGAACCACAAAATCCCTAAAACCCAAACCCTAAACCCTGAACCCCAAGGCCATTGCCATCCTTCAAAACACACCAAGCGGCTGCCCGTGGACGCCTCCTCGCTCGCTTCTGCGCGCCTCCGGCGGACCTGGGCGTGTCAGGACCTAACTTGCCCTTCAGGGTTCTCAGAGTGTAAATCATTCATAGGGTTTATAGGGTTTCTTGCCTAAACCCTAAACCCTAAACCCTAAACCCTAAACCCTGTACCCTAAACCCCAAACCCCAAACCCCAAACCCCAAACCCCAAACCCCAACCCACCATCAAACCCTGCACTCAACACTCCTCTGGGCCGAAGTTGCCTCGGTGGCCAGAAGCGTGTGGTGTAAGCCACAGGAGGCCTTGCCGGAGGGTTGGGTTTTGGGGTTTGGGGTTTGGGGTTTGGGGTTTAGGGTTTAGGGTTTAGGGTTTAGGGTTTAGGGTTTAGGGTTTAGGGAGCTTTAGGGATTTGTTCCGGGTGCTTGTGGGGGGGAGGGGGGAGAAGGGGGGGGGGGGGTTGTAATTGGCATCAAGGGTTGAACTGTTCTCCCTTGGTCTAGTTTTCAGGGTTTAGAGTTTGGGGTAGGGAGGGTATGGAGTGTCCTGAGTCTAGACCGACATTGGAGAGCTCCGTTACCCTAATCCTGAACACCAAAGGCAGAGCTGCCGAAAAGTTGGTAAACGCGAAAACCTAAACCCTGTAAACCCTGTAAACCCGAACCCCAAACCCTAAACCCTAAACCCTGAACCCTAAACCCTAAACCCTAAACCCTAAACCCTAAGCCTTGGAGATCCTCAGCCGCGCCAGGCTCCGGATGACCCCGGGCTCCGCAGGTTCCTCCACCATCGGCGCGGAAGACCACCTTTAGGGTTTAGGGTTTAGGGTTTAGGGTTTAGGGTTTGGGGTTTAGGGTTTGGGGTTTAGGGTTTGGGGTTTAGGGTTTGGGGTTTAGGGTTTGGGGTTTAGGGTTTGGGGTTTAGGGTTTGGGGTTTAGGGTTTGGGGTTTAGGGTTTAGGATTTGGGGTTTAGGGTCTATGTAGGGTTTAGGGTTCAGAGTTTCATGATTTTACCTCAGAAATTTATTCAGGTTCTTAAACCGACCTTCAGTTACGTGATGCTGTTGACAGCTGTCAATAAGTTGGGCAAGAACGAACATCACTCAATTTAGTGGCCATGTGTTCCTCAGAGAATTCGCCCCTAAGTGCAATAAATAGACAGCCCCCGTTGACGCACCTTTGGAGTGTACTTCACATACTTGACCCCCCCCCCCTCTTCATTTTTCCCCCGCAAAGAATATGTAAGACCATTGAATTGGAAAGGGTCCAACTATACTCCCCTTAGAACCCTAAGCCCTAAGCCCTAAACCCTAAACCCTAAACCCTAAACCCTAAACCCTAAACCCTAAACCCTAACCCTAAACCCTAAACCCTAAACCCTAAACCCTAAACCCCCCTTAGAACGGACATAAGGGAGCTATTGCCAATAGTATTTAAGATAGCTGACCTCCAAGGTAAGGCTGCTTCTTGCACGGACAGGATGCCTGCAAGGAAAGCACAGCAAAAAGGAAGGTTAGCATGTATACTGTATATCCATATTTGGGGATTTCCGAAACTAGGGGTAGCTTACTGGGGTCCTGATTACGAGGGCATCCTACTATTTGGGGGAGAACATTAGGGGTCCCTTATGACAAAGCAGCTGGGGTTTCGGTTTCAGGGTTGACCACCGTCAGAGAGATGAAGGCTGGAGATTCCCAGAGAAGGAAACCCTAAACCCTAAACCCTAGACCCTAAACCCTACACCCTGAACCCTAAACCCCCTTAACAAACCCTACTTAGGCCCTTGTTGAACTGTTAACCCAGAGCCGAGCCACTGCTTGGGAGGGTCCAGGCGGCCCAACTTCCCGTAGTGCGCCGAGCCCCATGAGAAGGCCTGTGCTTCTTGCTTAGGGTTTAGGGTTTAGGGTTTAGGGTTTAGGGTTTAGGGTTTAGGGTTTAGGGTTTGGGGTTTGGGGTTTGGGGTTTGGGGTTTGGGGTTTAGGGTTTAAAGGGTTTAGGGTATCCGACAACCTCTACACAGGCACACCAAAAAGATGCGCTGCGTCAAGAAGCCCGGCACAAGCCCCCCCCCAGCAAACCCACCCAAACTTACAATGGCTTCAAGTTTGGGCTATTCGGGTTTGGGGTCAGAGCGCTTACATGTTTATGTGGTCCTTAAGGGGGGGGGGGGTTCATGAGGGGGTAGGTAACTAAAAGACCTTAAGGAAGTTCGGGAGCCCCCCGCAAGGCTCGAGCTAGACACTGGGAAGGCATTGCGACAATGGCCGAACACAAGCCTCCCTGACCTGAACGCCACGCTAAATCCTGAAGCAAAAGTCTATGACTCTCTAAACCCCTAGAAATTCTTCTGCGGCATAATAACAGATGCACCCTAAAAAACTAAACAATCCCCTACAACCCCAAACCCTAAAACCCAATCAACCCCAAACCCCCCCCCCCCCCCCTCCCCAAACAAAAAAAAAACCTATACAACCCCCTACAACTCCTAAACCCTAGAGCCCCTTCAAACAGACACCTTCAACCCTAAGCCCTGAACCCTAAACCCTAAACCCTAAACCCTAAACCCACGCATGGCCTGGCCGCCCATGTCGATGGCCACGGCATGGGTGGTGCCGCAGGCCACGGTACGGAGCAGGATGCCGCGGAGGCCCGGCACCTGCTAGGCAGTTTTTGGGTTTGTTTAGGGTTTAGGGGTTAGGGTTTAGGGTTTAGGGTTTAGGGTTTATAGGGTTTAGGGTTTAGGGTTCAGGGTTCAGGGCTAAGGCTTAGGGGCTTGTAAGGGTTTAGGCTTTTTAAGGAGATTTTGGGGTTTGGGGGTTCAATGCCTGGGTTCCTAGGATTTAGGGTTTGGAGGCTTAGAGGCTTTGGGTTGAGTTGGGGGCTTTGGAGGTCTGGGATCATGTGCCCCAACAAAGAAGAGGACCGATGAAAGGGAAGTTTAGCTTAGGGCTCGGAGGTTTAGGGTTTAGGGTTTAGGGTTTAGGGTTTAGGGTTTATAGGGTTTAGGGTTTAGGGTTTAGGGTTTAGGGCTCGGAGCTTGCTTCTTTAGGGCGGCTCAGGGCATCAGGTAGCCAGGACTGTCAGGTACACACAGTACGAAGGCGCACTCTTCGCACCACTGTTCTAAAAGTTACAAACCCTAAACCCCAAACCTGAACCCGAGCCCTAAACCCTAAACCCTAAACCCTAAACCCTAAACCCTAAACCCTAAACCCTAAGAGAAGGATCAGGACAACCAGTCGTCTCGGGTTGGGAGGTGGCTCTCACTGCTGACTGACCCGATGAAAGAAACCAAAGGGGAGAATCATCCGTAGCCGTAGCCTACGGCTTCCCTTGCAGTCCTGTTGAGGAACACCCTAAACCCTAAACCCTAAACCCTAAACCCTAAACCCTAAACCCTGAACCCTAAACCCTAAACCCTAAACCCTAAACCCTAAACCCTAAACCCTGCCTCTTTGGGCACCGCAATGTCGATGGGCTTCTTGGCCGGCAAGCCACACTGCCCAACGTCATTGGCACCCCACATGAGGAGATGCCCGCCTTCGCCTTCTTAAGGGTAGTTCCATGGTCCGGCAAAATTGTGCCTACATGCGGTTGTAGGGTTTAGGGTTTGGGGTCTAGGGTCTAGGGCTTGGGGTTTAGCGCTTAGGGTCGTAACGGGGCCCCCAGTTAAGGGCCCATATTCAGGGACCATGTAACTACCCCAAGACGCCTAGACCCAAGAGCAACCTGAGAATCAACAGGGTGCCATGTCTTGGTTTACAGGACCTTTAAGGGACCCTAAGCCCTCCAAAAAAGAACAAGGGCCTGATCGGGGTCCTAGTCGCTCATTTCCCCAGCCACCAATGCAGCAGAGAAGGCCCCGCCGCAGGCTACCAAAAGCACCTTACCCTCCAAGTACTCTGCCGGGATCTGATGCGGAGTCGGCCGTCGTGAGGAGGCACCCCCCACACCCGCCTGGCAAAGCAGGACGTCTTTTTTGTGACTACTCCTGCTTTGAGTGCCAATCTGTTATTTCAAGAGTGGCTCGGTACGCCACCAGAAAGGATGCAAAACAACAGAGGTGACCCGAACTTAAGGAAACCCCAAACCCAAACCCTGAACCCTGAACCCTAAATCCCAAACCCTAAACCCTAACCCTAAACCCTAACCTCTCCCGCCTGAAAGGAGGAGGAGGAGAAGCCAAGGCCCAGTTGCCCAAACTCGCCCCAACCCCAGGACCAAACGCCGCCTTCAGAGTCCTCGGCAACCCAGGAACTCTTGAAGGCAGTGTAGGGTTTAGGGTTTAGGGTTTAGGGTTTAGGGTTTAGGGTTTAGGGTTTAGGGTTTAGGGTTTAGGGCTAGGGTTTAGGGTTGATGGTTGAGGGTTCAGGGTTTCAGGGTTTAGGGGCGTAGGGAGCCTGGCTTTCCTTCTTTTCCTTTCCCTTAGAGGGGGGGGGGGGGGGGCGCCCACGCCCCCCCCCCCTCCCTAAACCCTAAACTTTAAACCCTAAACCCTAAACTTTAAACCCTAAACCCTAAACCCTAAACCCTGGCAAGAACAAAAAGGGAAGAAGGGACAACATGGTACCACTCCGGACTCCAAAGGACCAAGGCCAAACTGTGCACATCCCCACCAGCAGCCTGGGCGATCTTGACCTTTGGCCATATCGGGTGGGTTTTGGCCATATCGGGTGGGTTTAGGGTTTAGGGTTTAGGGTTTAGGGTTGAGGGTTTAGGGTTTAGGGTTGAGGGTTGAGGGTTTAGGTGCTTAGGTTTATTGGGCATCCTAGAGCGTAGGGTGCTTGTTTTGGTGCTTGGGGCGGGGCCTAAGGATTTAGGGGTGGCTTAACAAGCTGTCAGGATATTGCCTAACGGAAACCTCAAAAGCGCCCATGATTTTGATCTGAACCCTAAACCCTAAACCCTGACCCCTAAACCCTAAAGCCTGAACCCTAAACCCTGAACCCCGAACCCTAAACCCTAAACCTGCCCCCCCCCCCCCCCCCCACTGTAAGGTTCGCTCGAGCCTAGGCCTTTCCGGGCTAATGGTTTGTGGGACTTGAGGGTAAAGGTCCTAAATTCAACCCTAAACCCCAAACCCCAAACGCTAGCCCTAAACCCTAAACCCTAGCCCTAAACCCTAAACCCTAAACTCCAAACCCCTGAAACCCCCAGTTGCCCGCAGTGGCTCACCTCGCCCGTCTCTGGATGCTTGGGGAAAGCCACTGCAGTCGGCGTGCAGACGCATGTATCCTTGGGTACTAAAGGCACCCTGAATGTGGGGTTCATGTCCTAAACCCTAAACCCTAAACCCTAAACCCTAATTAAACCCTAAACCCTAAACCCCTAAACCCCTAAACCCCTAAACCCCTAAACCCTAAACCCGAAACCCTAAACCCTAAACCTTCCTTTGGGGCCCATTTCGTCCCAAGAGTCTCCCAGGCCAAGCGAGTCGATGTGCGACTGGATCTGGTCTTCTTCCAGACCCAGCTGCCCTCCTTCAGTTCGACCCCAGCTGTACCTGTTGGGAGGGTTCGGGGTTTAGGGTTCAGGGTTTAGGGCTTAGTGTTTAGGGTTCATCTAAGCCTTTACCCCTGAACTGGGGGTTTGGGAGGGTTTCGGGCTTAAGGTTTTGGGGACCTGGGCTCCAGTGCAAAGAATGGAACTGTTCAACCATGTCCAAAAACAGCAACCTTTCAACCCTACAACCCTAATTGAAAATCCATCCCTAAACGCCACAATGATTACAACTCTATACCCTACACGCTAAACCCCTAAACCCCAAACCCGAAATCCTGATACTTGGTAGCCCAGCAACCATATTATAAAACGGGCACCCTTTTTTGGGTTGCTTATTTTTGCAAGGGAACCCATAAAAACAAAAAGGTAAGCCGGGCTACCAAGGATTACAACTCTAAACTCTCAACCCCAAACCCGTAAGCCCTAAACCCAAAACCCGAAACCCTAAACCCTAAATCCTAAACCCGAAACCCTAAATCCTAAACCCTAAACCCTAAACCCAAACCCGAAATCCCAGATAGTGGACGGGCTGCAGCAGGCCCGCTCTCGACACTGCCATGGAGTGGTAGGAGCCGCACGCCACCAGCTTGCAGCACTCTTGGCTGTCGGTCCCTTCGTTTTTCCCCCCCTGGTAATTTGGGGGTTTAGGGTTTAGGGTTTAGGGTTTAGGGTTTAGGGTTTAGGGTTTAGGGTTTAGGGTTTAGGGTTTAGGGTTTAGGGTTTGGCGTTTAGTGTTTGTGGTTTAGGGTTTAGGGTTTGTGGTTTGGGGTAAATATTGGGGTGTCTTTGAATATATTAAAGAAGGGATGAGGTTTCCCACTAACCTAGAAGCCTGGCACCCTGAAGCCCTGAAACCCCAAACCTTTTCGCCCTAAGGCCCTAAGACTCCAAACTCTAAACCCTAAACCCTAAACCCTAAACCCTAGACACTAAACCCTAAACCCTAAACCCTAAACCCTAAACCCTAAACCCTAAACCCTAAAGGCCCTAAACCCTAAACCCTAAACCCTAGGATGGTCCGCGGTGCCCTCGGAGTAGATCGGTATCCGGGTCAGCTGAGTGTGGCAGCAGAGGGAGCCGGCTCCCAGTCCCAGGACGCCTGGGGCTTTGTCTTTCCAACTGGGTTTAGGGTTTAGGGTTTGGGGTTTGGGGTTGAGGGTTTAGGGTTTAGGGTTCAGGGTTTAGGGTTTAGGGTTTGGGGTTTAGGGTTTAGGGACGTTAAACCCTTGAGAAAGAGCGTTCGACAACCGATGTCACACATCTCGCCCGAAGCCCTAAACCCTATAAGACCCTAAAGCATCATCCCTAAACCCTGTAAGACCCTAAAGCACCATCCCTAAACCCTGTAAGACCCTAAGCACCATCCCTAAACCCTATAAGACCCCAAAGCATCATCCCTAAACCCTCTAAGACCCTAAAGCACCATCCCTAAACCCTCTAAGACCCCCAAAGCATCATCCCTAAAGCCCAATACACCCCCCCAAAGCATCATCCCCCCACCTCCATCACCATTTCCCCAACTCCAGACGCCACCCGCCGTGTCCAGGGCCAGCGAGAACTGCGCGCCGCACGCGATGCCCACGAAGCTGATGGAATCGGTGGGAAGCCGGTGGGGCATGGGCACCATCCTACAGCTGCCGCCACCGGCCTGCAAGGGACTTCTAGCAGGGAGGACCTTAGGGGCTAGTTGGGGGGTAACTTAGGGGCTACTTAGGTGTAGAGGGACGATACAAGGTATAAGATAGGGGTTATAGTAGGGTGGATAAGATTTCAGGGCCCTTTCTAGGGGTTCCTCCTTGCACCCCTGAAGGCCTCTTCCTTCCCGCGCGGAGCTCGGGGAGAGGCCAGGGGGCTCGAGACTAGCACCTCCTGCACGTCCACCTCGAGCGAGGAGTGGCCACCAGCCTTGGGGGCCAAAGGAACCCTTAAAAGGGTTTAGGGGTTAGGTTTTGGGGTTTAGGGCCTTTAGGGTTTAGGGTTTAGGGTTTAGGACCACATGGGGTTGATGGTTCATATGAATTGAGTTGTTCCCTCTTACACTAACAGGCCTTCATACGGATTATAGTACCCCCGATCATAATCCCCATTAATCACGAAAGGACGGTTAGTACATGGGGGAACATCCCAATACTTCAAACAGGGATTACGGTAGTCTAGGGTATATGACCACAGTTTTAGGGTTCGTTTGGTTCTCGCGGAGCCTGGCTGAACTCGTCGAAGCCCCAAGCATAAAGTTGGCCCTCCATGTCCAAGGCCAGGCAGTGGGCCTCCCCACACGACACGTCCTTGATCCGAAGGTCCTTGAAGGACACCACCCGAACAGGTGAGCCTTACTTCTCCAAAAAACCCAGGAACAACAGTTGCACCTCTTAATTGAGTAGCCCTAAACCATAAACGCTAAATTTGAAGAAGCTTACAGTTCAACTATTGGCTAAGTAACTACAAAATTCTTCAGAACCCCCCCCCCCCCCAAAAAAAAAAAAAAAGCAGCTAAAATAGAATTAAAAACAAGAAACTACTCTTCCTGCTAAGGGCAATATGTAGGATCTAAACCCTAAACACTAAACCCTAAACCCTAAACCCTAAATTCCTAGGCAAGTGGCCGCTCCAGGCCAAGTCCCGGCTTGTCGGGCCCGAGCTCGATGGGGCACTGGCCCCGATGCCGAGCTGGCCCAGCTCCTCAGCAGGTCTCAGGGCCCTTCTAGGGTTTAGGGTTTAGGGTTTAGGGTTTGGGGTTTGGGGTTTAGGGTTTAGGGTTCAGGGTTCAGGGTGTAGGGTTTAGGGTGTAGTCCATTGAAACCCTAAACCCTAAACCCTAAACCCCAAACCCCACCCCAAAACCCTAAACCCTACACAACCTTGCTAAACACAGTCTCAGCTCATTGAAGCCAAAGGTGAAGACGGTCCCCCGCCAGACATCCTGGCGGTCTCCGGCAATGCCTCAGGTGCTCTTAAAAAGGAGCATAAATGTAGCAACTATATGGGGTTTAGGGTTTAGGGTTTGGGGTTTAGGGCGTGCTTTCCATATACCGGCAATTTCTTTTGAGCGCGTTAACAGCAACCTGGCTGCCGCTGTTGCTGTCCCGTTGGACCTCCCGCTCTTTCCCCGGCGCCTGCCAGTAGGACCTCGACTATCGGAGCTCCCTTATGCTTAGCATATCTTATGCCTCCTGAAGATGAATAACACTCAACAAAAAAATATTCCATTTCTGGGGTGGGTGGGGAGGGGGGCGGGGTGGGGTGACCTACATTATATCCCAAAAGGAACCTGCTAAACCCTAAACCCTAAACCCAAAACCCTAAACGTCGTGTCGTCGAGGGGCATCTGCAAGGATGGAGGGAAGCCCTCGTCGCCAAAGTCTAGGATGTCGTGGCGGTGCCACCAAGCCTTAAGGACCAAATGGTCCCCTAAAAGTGGGGCTTAGGGTTTAGGGTTTAGGGCATGCTACTAGGAATCCTAGTAAGGTATATGAACCATAAACCCTTTCAGGGTTCATTCCGTCCCCAAGGAGCCCCCAAGCACCTGGAGATCAGGGCCTCGCTGTGGTGGAGTGCCTCTTGGCCGCCCCTCTCCTGGATTTCGTTGCGAGGGGCTTCAAGGACCTCTGAAGGCATTCCACCAAGCGCCTTCTTGGGAACCCTAAACCCTAAACCCTAAACCCTAAACCCTAAACCCTAAACCCTAAACCCTAAACCCGAAGCGCCTTCTTGGGTGGCTTCTGAGATTTCTTGTGGGCTGATGTCGCATGGGAGCGGCACCCAGGCATCGCAACATGCGCCGAGTTCCAGAAACTACACCCAGAGAGCCCAGTTTCAACCGAAGCTTAAGAAGATACCTGAACAGTTCATCACATATGTATCTATATATATATATATATGTTCGCTGTATACCTACATATATACGTTTTCTCTGTACATACATGTTGTTATTCATCCATTCATCTAGCATATACATAAGAATGTATAAGTAGGTATTGATTGAAGAGGAGCCCTTGAGGTGCCTTGGGTCCTTAAGCATCTGAAAGGGTTTAGGGTTTAGGGTTTAGGGTTTAGGGTTTAGGGTTTAGGGTTTAGGGTTTGGGGTTTAGGGCATCTAGACCCAAGAGCAAGCTACGAAAAAGAGGGGTGCCCCTTTGGTTTTAAAGGGCGTTTGAGGGAACCCCTAAACCCTCAAAAACTGGAATAGGGGCCCACTCAGGGTCCGAGCCCTAAACCCGAAACCCTAAATCCTAACAAAAAGAGGGCAATAAGGCCAGACTCAGGGTCCTAGCCCTAAACCCTAAACCCTAAACCCTAAACCCTAAACCCCCAAGAAACAGGGGAATGAGGGCCTACTCTGGGCCCTAGGCATGCAAGGCTCCGAATCGAGAAGAGGCCTCTGCTCTTCTGCCAGGGCGGCGGGACCCCAGGAGAAGGGGCTGTCGCCTCCGTAGAAGAGCAGGAGAGCTCGGAAGTAGTCTCCGAACCTGGGTAGGGTTTGGGGTTTAGGGTTTAGGGTTTAGGGTTTAGGGTTCAGGGTTCAGGGTTTAGGGTTTAGGGTGCAGGGTCAGCGTCTCTGAATCTTGAGCGCAGATATTTTGGGTGCACAGTCCTGCTTACCAGCAAGGCGACGACGTTTTGCTGGCCCTAAACCCTGCGCGCCCTGGCCCTAAACCCACCAAACACAAATTAAAACAGTCGTTTCTCTCTGATGCGAGACAAGATAGGCTTACGAACCCTCAACCCTAGATCCGAAGTTGCCTCGTCCTAGACCCTAAACCCTAAACCCTAAACCCTCTCCGCTCTTAAAGCTTGAAGCAAAACCACGCAAGGTTGAGCGCTAAAAGCACCCTAACAGAAACCCCAAACCGTAAACCCTAAACCCTAAACCCTGAACGCTAAACCCTAAACCCTAAACCCTAAACCCTAAACCCTGAACGCTAAACCCTAAACCCTAAACCCTAAACCCTAAACCCTAAACCCTAAACCCCCCTCTCTTCAGGGGAAGGCAACTTTGAGATGCTGAGGAGGTCCTTCCTGGCGTAGGAGATCAGGCCCAGCTTCCAGAGCAGGAAGAGGGCGTAGGGGTGGCCCTGGCACCCGGGCCTCCTATTTCAGGGGTTTAGGGTTTAGGGTTTGGGGTTTAGGGTTTAGGGTTTGGGGTTTAGGGTTTAGGGTTTAGGGTTTGGGGTTTAGGGTTTTGGGTTTAGGGTTGAGGGTTGAGGGTTTGGGGTTTAGGGTTTAGGGTTTTGGGTATGTGGGTTCAAGAGGGGTATGGGGCCCATGTGCCCAGATAGTATGCAGGGTTTTCATGGGGCTTGGGAGCTGGACGAAAAGTCGGCTGCACTCAGGAGGGTAGCTATAAATTAAACTTTTAGCTGCCTTAATAAGAAACCCAAAAAACCAAAAAAAGGTAAGGATCTAAAGCTACAGTAAAGTACCACAAAGAAAAAGTCGGCTGGGTTTGGGATTTAGGGTTTAGGGCTTAGGTTGGTAGGGCTCCCTCTTTGGCCCGAAAATCCCCAAAGAGGCCATGCCCCTTCAACACCCAATATCTTTGGGTCCGGTACCCTAAGCCCTGAACCCTGAACCCTAAACGCCAAAATTTATGGGTTTAGGTCTGAGGGCTCCTTGTTCTGGTTCCGTCTGTTGTTTTTTCCATTTCTTTTTGTTTTGGGGCGGGACTCTTGAAATCCCCAAGCGGTGTAGGGACCCATGGGTATGTTGAGCGGCCGGGAGAATTTCGGGACTTGGCAATGTGTCAGGCTCCAAAGGTCTGGGGTTTAGGTTTGGGGTTTGGGGTTTAGGGTCTAGCCCTAAACCCTAAACCCTAAACCCTAAACCCTAAACCCTAAACCCTAAACCCTAAACCCTAGGGTTTTGGGCCTTAAGGAGTTACGCCCTCCCATGCATCAGAAATTGACGCGTCCTGGGATCGCCCCAGGCATCGTCCAGGGCGGCCAGAGCTTGAAGGTAGTGCCTCCACCCGTTCCGAGAGTCGAGGGTTCAGGGTTTAGGGTTTAGGGTTTAGGGTTTAGGGTTTAGGGACCCCGAACACCCCAAAAAGAACCCTTAAAACCCTAAAGCCATGAACCTGATACAGCCTGAACCTTGGGGTGTGTGATCCCAATTTGCTGGGTTCATACGCTCCCAAAAAAGACCCAAAGCCCTCGGGCCTGAGCCCTAAGCCCTAAACCCTAAGCCCTAAATCCTAAGCCCTAAGCCCCCGAAACCAAGGTGCAAGTAGCAGGCGTCGACGTCACCCTCCCGCTCGCAGATGTAGCCCCGTAGGGCAAACAAGGCCACAAAGAGCTCCGGCGGACCTTTCTTTAGAAGGTTTGGGGGTTTATAGGGTTTTTAGGGTTTAGGGTTTATAGGGTTTATAGGGTTGATAGGGTTTATAGGGTTGATAGGGTTTATAGGGTTCATAGGGTTTATAGGGTTTATAGGGCTTAGAGGGCTTATAGGGCTTACAGGGCTTATAAGGGTCCAGGGTTTAGGGCCTAGGGCTTAGGGTTGTTTAGGCTTTGGGCTTGTAGGGCTTCAGAAAGACAAACGCAGCAGTCAACAGAAAAAGAGGCGCCCCCTAAACCCTAAAGCCTAAAGCCTAAAGTCTAAAGCCTAAACCCTAAACCTTAAACCCCGAATCCCAGGTGCAGTTTCCGCCGAGCTCTCCAAGAAGGTTGGCGACCGTCTGCAGAGCCCGCCCGGCCAGCACGACGATCTTCTTGTAGCTGAAGGCCTGCTGTGGAACCCTAAACCCTAAACCCCAAACCCTAAACCCAAAACCCTAAAAAAACCCCAAACCCTAGATAAACCCTCCGTACCCCCTAAACCCTCAACCCTATATCCTCTACATCGGCGTTAGAAGTCTTGGGGCTTCGGGGTTTCGGGGTTTCGGGGTTCCCTAAACCCTAAACCCTAAACCCTAAACCCTAAACCCTAAACCCTAAACCCTAAACCCTAAACTCAAGCTTTCGGGTTTCAGGGCTTCAAAACCTGCTGCGGGTCGTCGGCATCATTCGCCGCAGCATCGGGATTGTCACTGTGCACCCCTCGGTTGTCCATATCCTCCTCCCCGTTCACGGGGCCAGCCTGGGCTGCGACCATGTTTTTGTTGTGTTTTTTGCTTTTTGTGTGTCTTTCTTTTATTAATATTACTATGTCTTTTTTTATAGTCTTATCTGTTATGTTTTTTATGATATTGTTCTTATTCTGATAGCCATGTCGTTTAATCCCTTCCCCCCAATATTAAACGGGGGGTCCCCCCCCCCCCCCTCCCCCAATAGAAATTCGAAATGTGTTTTTATTATTCGGGGGAGGTTTTATCCAAATGCTATGTTTGGGGTCCAAAAGGTTTAGGGTCTAGGCTGGGGAGAGAGGGAGGGAGCTTTAGGATGTTGGCTGGCTGGCGGGTTTTGGGTGCCCTGAACCCCCCCCGCCCCTAATTCGGAATAGGGTTTAAAAGGCGGGGTCGGTTTCGGCAGGATTTTCCGGAAAGTGTTTTTAGTATTAGGGGGGAAGGGATTAGTCTGTTGCCCTTGAAGTTAGGGTTTCGGGGTTTGGGGTCTGGGGCTTAGAGGTTTTAGGCTTAAGAGTTCAGGTTTGGGGCTACAAAAAGGGCTTAGAGTGGCCTGGCCCCTTCAAAAGATTCAAAACCCACAGGAAATGTTCGAAAGTAAGATCCTATTCAGCCCAACAAGGGTAAAACCATATGGGTAGCTCTCGAAAATAGGGTCCCCCTTTTGAGGGGTCCCTATTTTATCGGTGCCGTACCTAATAGGGCACACAAAAATAGGGAGCCTGAGGAAGAGTACTACCCATATCCCAAGGGCCTACCCTAAACCCTAAACCCTAAACCCTAAACCCCTAAACCCTAAACCCTAAAGCTGGTAGCCTTGAACTTCGAAGGATGATCCGCCACCAAGAGCGTCTGCACGCACTTCAGCAAGGCCCTGCAACGGCAGATCTTCTGCTTCAGCCGGAAGTGGTCCTGCGCGGCACCTGGGTAGGGTTTAGGGTTTAGGGTTTAGGGTTTAGGGTTTAGGGTTTAGGGTTTAGGGTTTAGGGTTTAGGGTTTAGGGTTTAGGGTTTAGGGTTTAGGGTTTAGGGTTTAGGGTTTAGGGTTTAGGGTTTAGGGTTTAGGGTTTAGGGTTTAGGGTTTAGGGTTTAGGGTTTAGGGTTTAGGGTTTAGGGTTTAGGGTTTGGGGTTTGGGGTTTAGGGTTTAGGGATTAGGGTTTAGGGTTCCCTGTTATAGTGGTACCTTGGTGTGGCAAACTCTAAAACCCCCGAAACCACGCAACCCTAAATATGAGGACCAGATCGCAACCCTAAAAGCGCTGGACCCTGAAAACCCTAAAGCCGGCAACCCTTAAACACCTCCCTAACTCGAAAAGCCCCACAAGTCCGAAGCAGAAGAAAAACTAAACCCTAAACCCTAAACCCTAAACCCTAAACCCTAAACCCTAAACCCTAAACCCTAAACCCTAAACCCTAAACCCGGCCCACCTGGACGCTGCAGTGCCACGCTTCCAGTAGCGAAGCTCCTCGACAGCATGTCCTGCTGCGGTCCGCTCTAAACCCTAAACCCTAAACCCTAAACCCTAAACCCTAAACCCTAAACCCTAAACCCTAAACCCTAAACTCTAAACCCAAGCTCCTAGACAGCATGTCCTGCCACGGCCCGGAGCCTGGGGCCATGCCCTCGGGCACGTGGAAGCCGGCATCTTGCCTTTGTTTTTGGGCGCGTAAGGGCTCCGGGCTTCATAGGGTCATAGGGTTTAGGGTTTAGGGTTTAGGGTTTCGGGTCGAGGGTTTAGGGTTTACTTTAGGGTTGAGGATTAGGGTTTAGGGTTTAGGGTTTAGGGTTTAGGGTTTAGGGTTGAGGGAGGAGGGTTGAGGGTTTAATTACTTCAAGTTTGGCAAAACAGAAGCCGTTGAAACAGAAGCGCAGGCAGGTCCCTTCCTATAACAGGCATCCAGTCAGTCAAGAAGAAAGCTGCAACAGACAACCAAAAGCAGCTAGAAACACACACGCGAGGAAAATGCAGCATCACCCTCAAAGACAATTAACCGACAACCCGAACCCAAAACCGTAAACCACACCCTAAGGCCCTAAACCCACTAAAGCCTTCTCCCCCCCGCCCCCCCGCCCCCCCAAGAAAACAACCTAAACCCTAAACCCTAAACCCTAAACCCTAAACCCCAAACAGAAAGCATAAGGGAGCCGAGGCTGCCCGGGAGGCGAGCACTGGCCCCGAAACACCAGACCTCGGTGCCAGCGCCCGGCAAGCGACAGGTCCTGTGGGACGGGGCTTATGGGGTTTGGGGTTTAGGGGTTTAGGGGTTTAGGGGTTTAGGGGTTTAGGGGTTTAGGGGTTTAGGTGTTTAGGGGTTTAGGGGTTTAGGGGTTTAGGGGTTTAGGGGATTAGGGGTTTAGGGGTTTAGGGGTTTAGGGGTTTAGGGGTTTAGGGGTTTAGGGGTTTAGGGGTTTAGGGGTTTAGGGGTTTAGGGGTTTAGGGGTTATTGTTTAGGGTTTAGGGCTTAGGGTTTAGGGTTTTTGTTTTTTAGGGTTTAGGGTTACGGGATTTGTTTTGGGTTTAGGGAGAGCTTTGGGGAGTTCATTCGCGGTTTGGAGTTTGAAGCTTTTCGTGCTTTGGGGTCATGGGGACGTATAGGGGATGAGTGGATTTGGCATGGGGTTCCCCTAACCCTAAACCCTAAACCCTAAACCCTAAACCCTAAGCCCTAAACCCTAAACCCTAAACCCTAAACCTCGAAACCCTAAACGGGGAGGCCTCTGCTGGGGTCGGGTACGGGGATTCGGAGAGCTGTAGGGGTCTCGGGTGTAGGGGCATTTTGGAGGGGAATAGGGTTTCGGTGAGGCTTCCCCCCTCAATCCAGGGTTTAGGGTTTACGGTTTAAGTTTAGGGTTTAGGGTTTAGGGTTTAGGGTTTAGGGTTTAGGGTTTAGGGTTTAGGGTTTAGGGTTTAGGGTTTAGGGTTTCGGGTTTCGGGTCCTGGTTCACGAGCTCGGCCGCCAGCTTGGACGAGGCACTGGGCGGCATCGCGTGAGCCAGGGAGCTCTGCATGCTTGGCCTAAGTCAAGTCGGTTCCCCAGAAAACTAGAGGAGAAAACGAACTGAATTAGGGTTTAGGTTTTAGGGTTTAGGGTTTAGGCGGTAAAACCGTAAAACCACAAACCCACAAACCCTAGAGGCCCTAGAGCCCTAAAAGCCCTAATTTGAAAACAGGGCCTTAGAAGGAAAGGCGCGAACCTCATCCCGGACCCCAAAAAAACACTAAACCCTAAACCCTAAACCCTGAACCCTGAACCCTGAACCCTGAACCCTGAACCCTAAACCCTAAACCCTAAACCCTAAACCCTAAACCCCAGCCAAAAAGGCTGCCCCAAAAAAGGCGCCGGGCGGCTGGAGCGCTTCCCCCACGGCATCCGCGAAGCTCAGGCATGACCTCTCATGGGTTCCCCCTGCTACCCCCTCCCCTCTATTAAGGCTACTTAGGGTTTAGGGTTTAGGGTTTAGGGTTTAGGGTTTAGGGTTTAGGGTTTAGGGTTTAGGGTTTAGGGCAATTCGGCCTAATTAAGGCTCTTTAAGGGGGGAACCTAGGGGGGGGGGGGGTAGAAAAAGAGGAGTGGGGGTCGTAAGGGGAACCCATGCACCTCGTGTGCGTGGACTGCCGGATGCTGCACCGCAGCCGGGGGCCCGGGCCCCCGGTCTCCCACGGCTTCCCCGGCACGCGCATCGGAAGGGAGCTCAGCCCACCTCGGCTGGCCCGTAAGATTCGGTGAATGATGGGTTTTGGGCGTTTAGGGTTTAGGGTTTAGGGTTTAGGGTTCCTGAATCTAGTATGCTCTTAAAACCCCAAAAAGGAACATGTAAAATGTCCCAAGGGCCTACCTGGCCGCTGTTGTGGATCCGCACCCGGGACAGGAAGTCCTTGGGCAGCGAGATGCGCAGCTGGGTTGCCACGGCCCTCACCAAAGCCGTCGCGGACTGGCGGCCGACGTTGAAGAGCCGCTGCCCCAGGCTACCTGGGTAGCCCAGTAACCATATTATGAAGCCTAAACCCTAAACCCTAAACCCTAAACCCTAAAAACCCTAAACCCTAAACCCTAAACCCTAAACCCTTTTTGGGGCTGGTTATTTTATGAGGGAACCCATAAACAAAAAAAAAGTAAAAGGGTACCACTGGGCTACCAAGCTGCTTAGGAGACTGGCCAGCAGTGCCCCATCCAGCTCCTTGCCTTGGATGCCCTACAAAAGCCCTCTGACAAATACATTCTTAAGTAGGGTCCCTCTTAAGCCCAATAAGGGAAAATGTAAAATGGCCCAAGGGCCCTACCTAGCCCTAAACCCTAAACTCTAAACCCTAAAACTTAAACCCTAAACCCGCCTTCCACCTGCGAGCACGCTGTGGACACTGAGGAGGTCCGGGAAGGATCCTTGCCCCTGGAGCTGTCTGCTTGGGACGCAGGAGCATGCCAAACCTCGGGGACCCAAAAAGAAACCCCCCCACCCAAAAAAAGGAAAATGATATAGGGTTTAGGGTTTAGGGTTTAGATACACATTTAATCTATATATGTATATTATATATCTATATACATATATATATATATATGTATACATAATATGCTTTATGGACTCCAAGCTCTTGAGGCATTATGATCGTAGAGGGCTAAGTAGAGGGCTAGATGATGCCGATTCTGGCTTCCATCCTAGGGGTTTCGGGTTTAGGGTTTTATGGGGTTTAGGGTTTATGGGGCTGAAAGACCCTAAACCCTAAACCCTAAACCCTAAACCCTAAACCCTAAACCCTAAACCCTAAACCCTACACCCTAAACGAAACCCAAGGGGCGTAGAGCTCATGGGCGGCGGCCGCCAGGCGGACCCAAGACACCACGTGCAGCAAGCCCAGGCGTAAGGCTGAGAGCCGCTCCAGGGCGGTGTGGGGTAAACTCTGGGTTGCCTGGTAGTTCCTGAGCTGCTCTTAGGGTTTAGGGTTTAGGGTGTAGGGTTTAGGGTTTGGGGTTTAGGGTTTAGGGTTTCGAGTTTAGGGTTTGGGGTTTCGGGTTTGGGGTTTAGGGTTTAGGGGTTGGGGTTTGGGGTGTAGAGCCCTCTGCACCCTAAGCCCGAGAAGGCTCTGGGTTGCCTGGTGGTTCCTGAGCTGTTCTTCGGGGTTTAGGGTTTAGGGTTTAGGGTTTAGGGTTTAGGGTTTAGGGTTTAGGGCCATTGAAACTAGGAAACCAAAAATGTCGCTGGAGAGAGAGAGAGAGAGAGAGAGAGAGCGAGACAGAGAGAAAGAGAGAGAGAGAGAGAGATACAAAAGAGTAGACGGTATACAAAGATCATATGAATATGAGTATATGGTCCCCGCCCCACCGCACCCCATAACAGACCAGGGCCTTTTTTTGGCATGCTGTATGAATGTAAATAACATGTCATAAGCAAACAAACTAACACTACACATCAACATGAACATATATACATGAAAATATATACATGAATATATCTATATGTATATATATATATGTGTATGTGTATATGTATACTTATGTTCATGAATATTTCTGTACCCAACGGAACTTCAAACAACAAGACTACACCTCAAACCCTAAACTCTCAACCCTAAACCCGAGACCCTAAACCCTAGACCCTAGACCCTAAACCCTAAACCCTAGACCCTAAACCCTTCCACAAGACCAAGAGTCAGGGCCTCTGGGTGCAGCTGCAAAGCACAGATCATGAGCTGCACCTCGTCCTTCAGGGACTACCGGATGGACCCGTCTGTTTAGGGTTTAGGGTTTAGGGTTTAGGGTTTAGGGTTTAGGGTTTAGGGTTTAGGGTTTAGGGTTTAGGGTTTAGGGTTTAGGGTTTAGGGTTTAGGGTTTAGGGTTTAGGGTTTCGGGCCAGTAAGGACCAAGAATTGGCGCAATTCTTTCTCGGTGAGGCGGGTGAATCTACAGGTCCTTTGGAAGCTGTTTGGGGCTCCTCTATGGGTTTGTAAGGAAAAATATGGGGCCAATTTGGGAACAGGGCCATTTGATGAACTACATAAGGGTGTCCGACCTAGTATACCCTAGCCCTAAACCCTAAACCCTAAACCCTAAACCCTAAACCCTAAACCCTAACCCCAAACCCCTAAACCCTAAACCCTAAACCCTAAACCCTAACCCCAGTCCTCGAAGTCGGCGTTCCGAATGCGGAAGCTGCTCCTGTCCTTGCCCTTGTTGTGGTCCACGGGCTCCTGAACACCACGGCGAACTAAGGGACCCGGTAGGGAATTTAGGGTTTAGGGTTTAGGGTCTTGGGTTTTGGGAGCCAGGTAGCCAAAGATACAGACCCATTTTAGTAGCCCAGTATCTGTCTCATAATAAGGGTACCCGCTTTTGGGGTTACTTCCTTTATAAGGTAACCCTGAACCAACAAAAAGACGCAAAGGGTACCACCACTGGACTACCAAGCTATAAGCTCCCATATGACAACCCTGTGAGAGGGAATATGGGGGGGGGTACCAGATTCCCTAAGCCTGGCCCTACTCACAACACTAGGCCCTAAACCCTAAACCCTAAACCCTAAACCCTAAACCCTAAACTCTAAACCCTGAACCCTAAACCCTAAACCCTAAACCCTAAACCCCTAACCCTAAACCCCTAACCCTAAACCCCTAACCCTAAACCCTAAACCCTAATACCTAAAGCCCCCCCGTCCTCCGCAAACTGCGGTGTAGGCTCCAGTGGTGCCATGGGCGGGATCGGCGGGATGGGCGCTTCCGGCGCGATTGCCGAGGCAGGGTCAGCCTCAATGAGCTGCGCCTCCTGTGCAATTACCTGGCGGTATAAGGTTTAGGGTTTAGGGTTTAGGGTCTAGGGTTTAGGGTTTAGGGTTGTTTAGGGTTTAGGGCTTAGGGTTGACCAAAGTTTGCGCTTGCCTTGGACCCTGTACACCGTAAACTTAGAGCGTGAATCACTGAACCCTTGTGCGTCTCTCGCTCTCGCTCTCGCTCTTGCCCTAAACCCTAAACCCGAAACCCTAAACCCTAAACCCGAAACCCTAAACCCGAAACCCGAAACCCTAAACCCTAAACCCTCGACCCTAAACCCGAAACCCTAAAAGTCGTGGTATGGGTTGAGAGTCTGTCAGGTCTGGGAGCCCGAAGCGGGCCCCGTGAACCCTAAGGCCCCAAAGGCCCGAAAGTTGTTTAGGGCTTAGGGTTTAGGGTTCCCTAAACACTAAACCACTCGAAACCCTAAACCCTAAACCCTAAACCCCAAACCCTAAACCCTAAACCCCAAACCCTAAACCCTAAACCCTAAACCCTAAATCCTAAATCCTAAACCCCAGAGAGGGCTTGGGTGGCAATCCCTGGCCTGGCCATTCAGAGACTCCAGGCTCGCCACGCTGTCCATGGCCCAGAAGCGCTGCAACCGGAAGTCCGGACCCTCCTCCATGCCGAGGGTTAGGGGTTTAGGGTTTAGGGTTTAGGGTTTGGGGTTTGGGGTTTAGGGTTGAGGGTTGAGGGTTTGGGGGGTTTAGAGGGTTTAGAGGGTTTAGAGGGTTTAGAGGGTTTAGAGGGTTTAGAGGGTTGAGGGGGTTTAGGGGGCTTCGGGGGTTTAGGGGGTTTAGGGGGTTTGGGGCTTGGGGTTTAGGGGGTTTGGGGTTCGGGAGGCTTGGGGCTAAGGAAAACCCATGAACCCCACCGAAAACCCCACACCGTAGACCTTGAAAAGCCCAAAACATCTTAAAGCATCCGAAAACCCTAAACCCGGCTTAGGGACAAAGGGGCCAGCGGGCAGGAGGGGCGCTTGGGGTTTGGGACTGTTTTGTGTTTTCTTTGCGGTGTATGGGCTCTCTCTGAAAATTCAATGGGGCACTGCTAGTCTGAACATAAAATAAGTAGCCAACCGTAAACCCTAAACCCCAAACCCTAAACACCCTAAACCCTAAACCCTAAAGCGCATTCAGGGGCTGGTGGGGAGGGGAAGGTTACGGCTTCGCAGAAAGACGCAAAAGGAGCGATGAATGTGAATGAAAGGATGCGAACAGTGCTGGATAATGTGATCAAGGAACAAGGAACGCAACGCCCAGATGAGCCAAGTCAAGTGCAAGCTATTGCCATCCATCTTTTACCATCTCAAAATGAAACAGACAGAAAACACCCCCTAAACCCTAAACCCTAAACCCCAAACCCTATAATAGGCTCGCAGCAGCTCCTCTGCAGCCGAGCGCTGCCACTTGCCTCCAAAGTAGCGCGGCGACTGCTTCACTGCCTCCCGGGGCCCTAAACCCTCCCTAAACCCTAAACCCTAAACCCTAAACCCTAAACCCCTGCTTCACTGCCTCCCGGGACCTCTGGATCTGTCGCCTCGTCAGAATGTGGCGGACCTCCAGGGATGGCTGTTTGGGGTTTAGGGCTTAGGGTCTACAGGGTTCAGGGTTTAGGGTTTAGGGTTTAGGGTTTAGGGCCTCAGGGTTTGAGGCTTTAGTGCTTAGGATCCAAAAGCTTTATGCAACTTAGGGTTCACTGTATATATTTTTGCTCGTGGCGTGCGCGCTGTTCTGCGTGCTTTGGCGCCTGCTCAGGGCTGTTTCGCAAGGAGTTTGGCGACCCTGTGACAAGTTGGCGCCGCAGAGCTGGGGGAGATCTGCAAGGCTTTACGGTTTAGCGTTTTTGGGGTTACCCTAAACCCTAAACCCTAAACCCTAAACCCTAAACCCTAAACCCCAAGTTGCTGCTTCATTGTTTTCAAGTTGAGCCACGGCGTGCTTCGCCGATCGCGCGATCATGTCCACGGCCACCACCTCCTCCAAGCGCGCCTCGCGCAATCTCTCCGGGTTTGGGATTTCAAGTTGAGCTGTGAGTTAGGTATATACGGTTTTTTAATAAAGGTTTTTATAGGGTATATTAAAGTGCTATGACTATCTGCAAAATGAAGAAGAGCCCTGTCTCCCAGACCTCAAAGCATCTGCCTTCACCCGAAACCCTAAACCGCAACTCTCAACTAGGTCCCACCTGACAGCTGGGCAGACTGTGGCCAACGAGTCGCAACCTCAGGTGCAAAAAAAGGCACAAATCCTAAACCCTAAACCCTAAACCCTAAACCCTAAACCCTAAACCCTAAACCCTAAACCCTAAACCCGGAGAGGTCTAGGGTTATGAGCCGTCTATCGATGCTCGCAGGCAGGTTTTGTTCGATGCTCGCCGGTACTCTCCCCTAATTAAACTCTGAACCCTAAAGAAGATGATGTCTTAAACATTCCCTTGGGTTCTATACACATAAAAACGGTTTAGGGTTTAGGGTTTAGGGTTTAGGGTTTAGGGTTTAGGGTTTAGGGTTTAGCCGTAGGGGGCTACAGAAGATTCCATGGCCCAGGCACTCTGCCAGACCCCAGGCTAGCCTCACCGGGATGTGCTGTGAGCGCAGGATGCTGCCTTCCAGGGGGGGGGGGGGGGGGGGGGGGGGGGGTTAGGGTGGGTTTTTAGTGTTTAGGGTTAGGGTTTAGGGTTTAGGGTTTAGGGTTTAGGGTTTTTAGGGTTTAGGGTTTAGGTTTAGGGTTAGCTCTCCCAGCAATACAGGTGCCTTAATAAATTAATGTTTTTTTTTTTTTTTTTTTTTTTGGGGGGGGGGGGGGGGGTTATTCTAGGGGTCTTGAAAGTTAGAAGGGTACTCGTGGGTGAAGTATAGAATAGGGTTGCTGGGGGGTTATTGCAGGGGCCTTAATACTTAGGATAGGTTTTTTTTTTTTTTTTTTGGGGGGGGGGGGGGGGGGGGGGGGGTTATTAGAGTATACTTCTAAAGGGACCATGAGGGAATACCACTAGTACCCTCATCTCATAGACCTTACAACTGGGGTTCAGGGGTTCAGGGGTTGAGGGCTTCAGGGTTTAGGGTTTTTGGGGTTTTGGGGGGCGGGGTGGAGGGGTTTAGGGGTTTAGGGCTTAGGGATTTGGGGGGAGGGCTGCAGAGAGTTGCGGGGGAGGAAGGAAGCAGGGTTTAGGCCTTTGAGCTGGAGATGGTGGATTTTTGTTTGGGGTTTGGGGGTTTGGCACCTCTACTGCATGAATCGTGAAACTCAACAAGCCTAAACTCTTTGAACTGTAAAACCTGACAGCCTTGTGCGCCAAACAAAAGGGAAGAGGAATCTGCAGGCACCGATGCTCCTCATAGCTACTGGCTAAACCCTGGGGTTTTTGGAACAACGGACGGAGAATGGACTAACAAAATGTGTTTGAAGTTCCTGGCATTCTCAATGGAACAAAGAAAACAAGGGATCAACAAACTTCTGATCAAGATAGCAAAATGCCTACTCAGTTGCAACCCAGAAATGTATTCAAAAGGGATGTATCCTCTCAATATGCTAAATGCACCTTCTTCTCTGCTTGTTTAGCTTGTCGCTCCCATCTTGTACTTGTAAAGATGTGAATCTAATGTTGTGAAGGAATGTTCTTCATGACTAGCAAGCACATGCGAATTCACACTCCTAAACACCAAACTCTAAACTTTGAACCCTCCGAAGCCCTGAAACCTAAACCCTGTGCCCTCCGAAGCCCTCATCCCTAAACTTAAACCCAACCCCTAAACCCTGCTCAGAGTTCAAGGCTTCTAGGGCTTAGGGTTTAGGGTTCTGTTTTCTGAACCATGTCGAGAGTTGTGGAGGGTGGCCCTGAATACACCCGAGATAGAAATCCGGGCGCTTAAGGTGCTTCAGGGTTTAAGGTTTAAGGTTTAAGGTTTGGGGCTTAGGAGTCTATGGTTTGGAGATTGAGCGTTTTGGGGCATATATCCCCCGAAGCCCCCACAGCAAACCCTGAACCCTTAAAACCCTCTAAACTTTTAATCCCCTGAACCCTCAATCTCGAGCACAGCAAGAACCACCAAGCCAAGCCCTAAACCCTAAACCCTAAACCCTAAACCCTAAACCCTAAACCCTAAACCCTAAACCCTAAGCCCTAAACCCTAAACCCTAAACCCTAAACCCTAAACCCTAAACCCTAAACCCTAAACCCTAAACCCTAAACCCTAAACCCTAAACCCCAAGTCAAGCCCGGGGTGCGGAGGTAGCGAGGATGCTGCGAGCGGCCGCGGTTTGCGGCCAGCTGCTGCGCAGCCGCTAAGAGGCGTTCGCAGAGGCCTCGCGCTGTGGGCTTAGGCTCTGTTGCTTAGGGTTTAGGGTTTAGGGTTTAGGGTTTAGGGTTTAGGGTTTAGGGTTTAGGGTTTAGGGTTTAGGGTTTAGGGTTTAGGGTTTAGGGTTTAGGGTTTAGGGTTTAGGGGTTATGGTCTTCAGAGGGGGTTTCGAGGTTTGCATGGGTTTGGTTTCTTTCAAGCTCTTTTGGGCTTGTTGTAGGGCTGTTCGAGGACCCTCCCTGCAAAGTCGGCCCAGACCCTGAGAGGAGACTCCCGTCATGAACTGAAACCCTAAACCCTAAACCCTAAACCCTAAACCCTAAACCCTAAACCCTAAACCCTAAACCCTAAACCCTACGCCATGAGCCGAAGATGCCATATTTGAGAGCCGCACCCAAGATTGAAGACATGCCCAACACAGGTTCACAGCGGTTTCCGGTGTTAGGGTTTGGGGTCTATAGGGTTTCTAGAGTTTTAAAAGGGTTTATATAGGGTTTATAGGGTTTCTAGAGTTTTAAAAGGGTTTTATATAGGGTTTGTAGGGTTTATATAGGGTTCATATAGGGTTCATATAGGGTTTATATAGGGTTTATAGGGTTTGGGGTCTATAGGGTTTCTAGAGTTTATATAGGGTTTATATAGGGTTTAAAAATAGGGTTTATAGGGTTTGGGGTCTATAGGGTTTCTAGAGTTTATTTTAGGGTTTATACAGGGTTTATATAGGGTTTATATAGGGTTTGTAGGGTTTGGGGTCTATAGGGTTTCTAGAGTTTATATAGGGTTTATAGGGTTTTTGTAGGGTTTGAAGGAACCATCGGGCTCAGATGTGTTTAGAGGGTTGAGACGGGTTTGTAAGGTTTATGCGGAGCTCCCAGGGCGAACTAGGGCTTGCCGGCCCTTAGTGGGAAATTCGGACTCCCTCAGCCACCGAAACGGGGTCTAGGGATTAGGGTTTAGGGTTCCGAACCTCTAACCCCTAAACCCGAATCCCTAACCCCCAATCCCGAAAGCACAAGCGCTAAATCCTTAACCCTGAATATTTGCTTAAGAACCACACAAAGAATAGATTCCTCCCTATTAGGGAGACATCGTATATAGAAAAAATGCTATTCTTTCATTTTTGGGTTTAGGGTTTAGGGTTTAGGGTTTAGGGTTAAGGGTTTAGGGTTCTAACGCAAATACTGGTAAAGGCCCGCACGCTGGAAAGTGCGGGAGGTCGGGGCCCCGGCTCTCGTCCACCGGGACAGCTGTATCCTGCAGGGTTTAGGGTTTAGGGTTTAGGGTTTAGGGTTGAGGGTTGAGGGTTTAGGGTTTAGCGAGGGCATACGGTTTTTATGTATTTACGCAGCGTTCCGGGGTACGGTGTCGGGTTCAAGGTCATAGTTAAACAACATGTACAATGTGTATCGCCCAACTTCAAACCCTAAACCCTAAACCCTAAACCCTAAGCCCTAAGCCCTAAACCCTAAACCCTAAACCACGATGCAGTGCATCCCACAGTCTTCGAGTTCTTTGCGCTTTTAAGCCCCTCAGGAAAAAATGTGGTCACCTCCCACCCGCGCTGGCTGGGGTTTAGGGTTTAGGGTTTAGGGTTTAGGGTTTAGGGTTTAGGGTTTAGGGTTTAGGGTTTAGGGTTTAGGGTTTAGGGTTTAGGGTTTAGGGTTTAGGGTTTAGGGTTTAGGGGTGTAAGGAGGTGTAGGGGGTGTCAGGAAGGGTGTATAATTAGGGGTGTAATTGAGGGGTGTAATGGTGTTATAAGGGGCTAAAGTTTAAGGTTTCGTCTCTTCCGGCCATGGTAGAGAAAACAGTGCTTGGCTGCTCAGAAGAAAGGCTTACGCAAGAATGGAGGATGTTCCCCTTTCTACTACCAGTCCTTAACAGGGATTGTAATCCGGGGTACTAGACTGCCTAATCAAGACTGTTCGTATAAGGGGGAACACCCTAACTAAACCCTAAACCCTAAACCCTAAACCCTAAACCTAAACCCTAAACCCTAAACCCTAAACCCTACACCCTAAATCCTAAACCCTAAACCCTAAACAAACCCTAAACCCTAAACCCTAAACCAAAAATGGCTACAGGATGCTGCGGGCTTAGGTTCGTAGACTGTCTTGCTTCGGCGCCCTCGCCTCTGAAATCATGAGAAATTCAAGCCCGACATCTTACTTGAAGGTTCATGGGTACTTCCCTAAACCCTAAACCCTAAACCCGAAACCCTAAACCCTAAACTCTAAATCCCAATTATGTAAGTCTACATATAGCCTACTTACAAGACGTAGGGGGCTTTTTAGTACAGTTGGGGGTTATATAAGTACCCTGAACCTCCAAGCAATCATCCTTCTTTTTGGGGCTTACGGAAATAGGGGAACCCTGACCCCTAAATAGTAGGATCACCTTAAGGACCCCAATAAGGTGCCCCTAAACCCTAAACCCTAAACCCTAAACCCTAAACCCTAAACCCCAAACCCCAAACCCTAAACCCACAGCCTGCCTCGGCCTTGGCAGCGCTGGGAAAGAAGGGCGGCCGCCTGGGATGCTTGGAGGAGGGCACTTAGTAAGCAGGGAATATAAGTACCTTACTTGGGGTTCCAAGTAGCCACAAAAGTATAGTTGCCCTAAACCCTAAACCCTAAACCCTAAGCCCTAAATCCTAAACCCTAG